ATTGTGAGTTGAATGTTCTTAAAGCATGTAGGATTGCTAATAAGAGCACTATATAGAAGTATCAGAAATAGAGCAAGTGTTTCTTTCACAAGATAATGGGGAGATAGTGAGAGTTGAACACAGAGTGAGTCACACCTCCCTCCCTCCCTCCCTCCCTCTCTTCCTTCCTTCCCTCTCTTCTTTCCTTCCCTCTCTTCCTTCTTTCCTTCCTTCCTTCCTTCCTTCCTTCCTTCCTTCTTTCCTTCCTTCCTTCCTTCCTTCCTTCCTTCCTTTTTTGGTTGTGGGACTTGAACTCAAGCCCTGGATGCTGTTCCTGAGCTCTTGTTTTTTCTTTACCACTTTGAGCCACAGAACCACTTTAGGTTCTGGTGGTTAATTAGAGGTAAGAGTCTCATGTACTTTTCCTGCCCTGGCTGGTTTAAACTGTGATCCTCAGCTCTCAGCCTCCTGAGTAGCTAGTATTGCAGGTGTGAGCCACCAGTGCCCAGCTTTTTATTTTTAATTTATTTATTTTTAATTAAAAAGGGATGTACAGAGGGATTACAATTGCATAGGTAATGAATACATTTCTTTTTGGACAGTGTCATCCCTTCCTTCTCTCTCTCCTGGTTTTCCTTCCTATCCCCATCTATAAGTTGTGTAGTTTATTTTCACCTGAGTACCACTGCTGCATTCATTCACCCTTTCCCTCCATTTCTATGTTCCCTCTTTACCCTCCCCCAAACAGATCAATGAACAGAGAAGATAAAATGAAAAAACAAAAACAACAACAAAGAAAAAACCCTCTTTTTTTCATTTCCTGGAGTTCATTTTGATATATATTGTTTTATATGATCAGAGGCACATGGGCATTGAGCCTTTGTGTTCTTCCTGTCAGAGTATTCCCCTTTGGTCTCAGTGTGTGTGGCTAGAATCCTATATAATTTATCATGTCCTGGTTTATATTTTAGATCTAGCTTGGCTATCAGCTTGGCTTACTTAATGTGATGTGTTCTAGGTCCATCCATTTCCCTGCAAATGATAAAACTTTCTAATGGCTATGTAGAATACATGGTGTACAGGTACAGCATTTTTTGGATCCACTCATCTATTGTAGGGCATCTGGGCTTTTTCCATAACTTGGCTTTTGTGAATAGTGCAGCAGTAAGCATGGATGTGCAAGTGTCTTTATGATATCCTGGCTTGAAATGTTCTGAGGGGATCCTAGACATCCCTCTTTCTTGGTGTGTGTGTGTGTGTGTGTGTGTGTGTGTTTTGGGGTTTGAACTCAGGGTCTAGCTGTTCTGAGGGGATCCTAGACATCCCTCTTTCTTGGTGTGTGTGTGTGTGTGTGTGTGTGTGTGTGTGTGTGTGTGTGTGACTCAGGGTCTAGCTGTTCTGAGGGGATCCTAGACATCCCTCTTTCTTGGTGTGTGTGTGTGTGTGTGTGTGTGTGTGTGTGTGTGTGTGTGTGTGTGTGTGTGTGTGTTTTGGGGTTTGAACTCAGGGTCTAGCTCCTGTCCCTCAGCTTTTGTGCTCAAGGCTAGTGTTCTACCACTTGAGCCACAGCTCTTCTTCCAGCTTTTTGGTGGTTAATTTTGGGTGGTTAATTTCCTGCCCAGGGTGGCAGGAAAATCCTTAGATCCCAGACTCTTGAGTAACTAGGATTATAGGTATGAGCCACCGGCACCTGGGTTCATGCTTGTTAGTTTTTAGGATAGAGTCTTGCTTCTTACCTAGCCATATCTCCTACTTTGAGGCTTTCCATAGTTCCTGGGATAATAGGCTCTTAGCTGCCGCTAGCTTCCCCTGTGCAGAGGTGCAGTCTCATGGACTTTTCTGCCTGTGCTGACCTGTAACAGAGATCTTTCCATTCTCAACCTTTCAGGTAGCTTAGGATAACAGATGTATGTCACTGTGTCAAGCTGTGGGTTAATGAGTTTTGCAAATTTTTCTACCCAGGAAGGCCTTGAACCTTGATCCTTCTCATCTCAGCTTCCAAATAGCTAGGAACCATGAGTGCCAAGCTCAGACATTGATTTTGCTGAATTTACTTTTAGGAAATTGATTTGGAAACTTGGAGTGAAAAGGTGATTGGATACTTGGTTTTGTGGGTGTAATGTTATCATACTAAAATTAAGAATCCAAAGTATCTGTTCCTCTGCCAATGGAGAAAATTGTTAAAACATTTTGATTGGACACTTTCTGCAGGTATGGTTGTTTTGATACAGTCCTTAGTTTGTATAATCATTTGAAGTTGAGGTGCTATAGTCTTTTCACTACGCTATTCTTTGCAAAGGAATTTTAGTTAAAATATGAGGGCAAAATTAAAAACCTAGCCAATTTCAACTGCTTTACTGCAAATTTAACCAGTAACTATTTGGTCAAATTCACCTTTAGTGGAATGAATGAGAAAAAAGACAAAGGACATTGACACTACTATTAAAAAGATTTATTGTTAAGTAGTTAAACAAGAGTTTCAACTTAACGTACTGATATGAAATATTTTTGAAGTTAGGAAACATAATTTCTCCATTTTTACTTATGTAATTTTCCTTTTGCAATATTTTACTTTGCTTTAGCACTGTAGTTCACATTTTAAATATCTTCTTAGTTTGATCTTTACCAATTGTGTATACTTAAAGTATGCATATCATACGACATATTAGTGTTTTCATTATACATCATATTTTACATTTATAGTACAGTGGGTCTTAGTGACTGGGGCTCAGTTTTCATGTATCTGCGATCACATTCCTCCATCTTCCAAATCTTTGCCTCCCAAGTAGCAGGGTTACAGATGTGAACCACTATTCCTGGCCCTTATTTTTCTTCTTCTTCTTCTTTTAACTGTTTTGCAATCTGAGTAGATGAGCTCAGTACTGGTACACATAAAACTCAAAGTCTCCATCTCACTCAGCATTTTCACTCAGCTTTTCTACTCATGCCTAGCACTTTACCACTTCAGCCACACTTCCAGTTTTGGCTTTTTGCTAGCTAACTGGAGATCATAGTCTCTTGGTTTTACTTTTGTGGGCTGACTTCATACCTTGGTCTTGAGATCTCAACCTCCTAAGTAGTTAGGATGACAAACATGAGGCACTAGTACCTAGTTGTCAGATTTAAAATTCTTAAAAGTACTTTTATTGTAGCAGGAATTGACATGTATTATACTGCAGTTTTCAAGATAAATTGACTTGTGCCCTCCTCAAGACCCCCAGAAAGAGGGAGCTCTGGCTTCTTGTTTTGCTACTGCTAGTATAGCATAATGTATTATCTGCTACTATTGTCTGTAAATCTTTATGTAATTTGTTTGTAGGAATCGATATTTAACAATAGTATTAACAGAAATTTCAGTAACTTTACAAAGTTGGTAAAACAGCACTTTTTCTTTCATATGGTTGTAAAGAGTTTGTTTGGTAAAGAGAAAGTAAAGACCACTCAGGAGAGTAAGCAGGGGAACTTGAAAACCAGTTGTCTACCACATACCACTGGTATGTGGTAGGTCAGGGACTGGCTATTTTGTATTCACCCTCCTCACCTTTTTCTCCTCCCTCTTGGCAGTTTGTCAGATGGTGATTAGCTTGTTGGAAATAAGCCAAACCCTCCTGTGGGCTGTGGTTTGAAGAGCTGACCTGGGTTACGGCATGACCCAAGACCTTTCCCTCACTTTCTCATGGTGACTGGTTGGTGGGGGAGGAGGAGAAAGCTATCCTGGCCTGGTTGGCTGATGTAAAACAACACTTTTAAGTAATAGAATCTTTGCCTAAATATTGTTGTGTGTGACTTTATATATAACTGAGGTATACCATAAAAAGGGCAACTATAAAATGTGAGCTCTAGTTGATCTTGAAGAAATAAGTGTGATTGTCTGATTATCCCCACTACTAGTTCATCCAGTTTGCTTACGTTTTTATTTTCCATCACTGCACTTTTCTTCCTTTTACTCCTCATCTGTCTTAGGTTGTCTTACTGATACAGTCATGTTGTCTTCATCTCTTTATGACAGTTTCATTCCCCACTACATAGCAGTTTTAACTAAGCAACAAGGTTAGTCTTCACTGAGCTTTGTTTTTAAGACCTTTAGGTCTTCAGATATATACTATTTTGTTTTAAAATTAAAACAGACTTTTAGCTTATCATCTTTTTAGGGCTTCTTCATAGATTACATGGGGGCATAAATTGGTTGCCTTGAATACATTTTGACAGGTTTAAAAAGTTGACTCATATTCAGAGAATTTAGGTTAATTTTTTTTTTCTGGATAAAACTATCCTTAATATGAGTTTTTGTGTTAAAATTTTTTTTGGCCAGTACTATGGCTTGAACTCAAGGCCTCATGCTCTCCTTCAGCTTGTTTGCTGAAGGCTGGTGCTCTACTACTTGAGCCATGCTTTCAGTTTGGCTTTTTGCTAGTTAATTGGAGATGGAGTCTCACAAACATTTCTGCTTGGGTTGGCTTTGAACCTTGATTCTCTGGGTCTCAGCCTCCTGGAGTAGCTATTGTTACAAGAATGCGCCATTGGCACCAGCTTCTAATGTACTTTTGAGTATATGTAGTTTATCATTTGATCTTTGGTTTATATTAGCTTTCATAGGAGCTCTATGAAATACAGATTATAGTTTTACTTGAGATTTTTTGGCTGTTAAACTAATTTCTAATTTGTATTTGTTGGATGCTTGTTTTCTTCAGTGCCTTGATTGATTTAGTGTTAAACAGTTGAGCATTTGTATAGCTTGTATACAGAATAGCAATCTCATAGTCAACATTTTAATTTGAAAGTCTCTTTAAAATATGAATATAATGTAGAAGTGTAGTACCAGTGGTAGAGAGAATGAAGAAAATTAAAAGGTTAATTTATCTTAGAATTTAAACAGTGTTTACTTTTCATTAATCCAGTGTAAAATACAACTGTATTTTTAAAGTTCGTCACAGCTAAATATTTTTATCATATCATTCCTTTCCTCTTCCCTCCCTTAAACTTGCCCCCTTCTGTATTCCCTGTGTACCCATTCCCTGCAGCGTTCCCTGCTGGCTGTGGTGGAGATTGGTGTGCTGTGAATTGCATAACCACCTAAATGAGTACCAGAAGAGTCTAAGAGCCACTGGCAACTGACTACTTGCTTTCATCAGGAATAGGGAGCTTTTGTCTGAATTTCCTGCCCTCAGGTAATACTTCTATTCCCCATTTTTTTTTCTGTCTGTAAATGCAAACACTATTTATGCCCCACAGTAGGATACCTTGAGACTATTTTCTGATTCTTATTGTCTTAGTCAGATACCTATTTCATTTTCTTTACTATTCCTCTTTAAAGAATCTTTTCTAACAGATTAGGTTTGGCAATAGACTAAAAAGTTGTAACCAGTTCTTTCCGATGTGGCAAGGTAGTTTTATAATTTATAGACAGTTATTTGTAAATAATAAATAGTATGATGTTTTTACCAATTAACGTAGATCAAATACTCTGTTGATCACGAGGTGTTTTGATCAATTCTGTCATTCACCGTTGAAGGACTTGAGAATTTATTTTGTGTTTACTATTAGTTATAATGTTTATATCAAGAGCTGAAATAAGACTCACAGTAACAGTGAAAATGTAATTCAGTTTTTTTGCAGTTTTGTGTTTCCTACCATTCTGTTCTTCTGGGTTCCTTTTAAAAGATCTGTTATTAGCTGGGACCTGTAATTGCATGCCTGTAGTCCCAGCTAATTGAGAGACTAAGGCATGAAGGTTTACTTGAGTCTAGGTTCTAGGTTAGCCTAGGCAACATAATAAAATACCATTTTGGAAACAAACAAGAAAGTAAATGAACTAAAAATATAAAAAGGAACCCTGAGTGGAATTTTGTAACTCATCAGTATACTTCAGGAGTAATGGAACCATTGTAACTTTGTTGCCATATACTAGAGGAATTGTAAGGTATGATGACCTAAATATTATTTTTTCATGCTTCTTACCCATGATTCCATGTTATCATTTGGGAATCTGGATGTCAGCTAAAACTACCAAAGTAAAGATGCCAGGTAGAAACTTTGAGATTCATATTTAGTATTTTTAGAAAATTAGGATATGGTTTCTGTCTGGAATGTCCCCTCCATCTTATTTTCCAGGCAAAAACTTACTGTTAAACAGCTCAGAAAACCAAGTCTTATGTTATTTAAAATGGTATTCAACTATCGTTTTTTTTTGTATTCATTTTTTGATTTGTATGATTTTTTTGTATACATTTCCCAAATCCTCATGGACAGTTTGCTCATGAAGTATAGTAGCCATTATGCTTTACATTGTTCAGTTTACATCTCCTTATATCTTTTTTTGGCCCATTATGATTAAGATTGTGTTTTATGTTTAAAATACAGCTGTCTTGGTCTGGGAAGGTGGCTCAGTGGTAGAGCACTTGCCTTGCATGCCTGAGGCCCTGGGTTCGATTCCTCAGCACCACATAAGCAAAAAGAAAAAAGCCGGAAGTGGCGCTGTAGCTCAAGTGGTAGAGCGCTAGCCTTGAGCTGAAGAGCTGAGGGACAGTGCCCAGGCCCAGAGTTCAGGCTTCACAACCGGACCCAAAAAAAAAAAAAAATACAGCTGTCTTTGTATTTACTTAAGTCAATCTACATGTTTAGCCACCCCACTGCTTTGTTTTACCTTCCCATTGTAACCAGTCATGATTTTTTTATTTTAGTAATTAGTGAATTTATGTTTTTATCCTGAAGCAGACTACTTGGCACAAGTTTAAGTATCTCTGTTGTCACTACCCAGATTTATTATTTATTTGTTGCATCCGTTATTGCAACGAAATGTTCTCATTTCCTTCTGATCTCCTACTTCCCTATTTCTATCCTTGGCACTGTTACTGGAAAAATGTTTTGTAAACATTTATCCTATTAAGGTTTTTTGCTAAAAACTTTTTTGGGGGGGGGCTGGGAAGGTGGCTCAGTGGGAGAGCGCTTGCCTTGCATCATGAGGCCCTGGGTTCGATTCCTCAGCACCACATAAGCAAAAAGAAAAAAGCCAGAAGTGGCGCTGTGGCTCAAGTGGTAGAGTGCTAGCCTTGAGCTGAAGAGCTGAGGGACAGCGCCCAGGCCCAGAGTTCAGGCCCCATGACTGGACCAAAAAAAAAAAACAAAAACAAAAACTTTTTTTTTTGGGGGGGTACCATTTCTGGGGTTTGAACTCGTGGCCTGATCACTGTCCTAATTTGCTAATTTGCACAAAGCTAGCACTGTACCATGAGCTACAGCTCCACTTCTGGCTTTTTGGTAGTTAATTGAAGATCAGAGTCTTGTGGATTTTCCTGCCCGACTGGCTTTGAACCGTGATCCTCAGATCTCAGCCTCCTGAGTAGCTAGGATTACAGGCATGAGCCTCGGGAACCCGGCCCATCCTTTCACTTTTTTTTTTAACTACTTCTACCATGTGGGTTCAACTATGTTCAACCAGTCTGCTGAGGGACAATATAGGAACAACATTGATTCATAAGATGAAACCCATATTCCTTGTCACAGAAAATAAGAATTCTTTCTATTTCTCTAGTTACATCATTTCTTTGCACTGAAAATGCATAATACCACAGTATACTGTACCGCCTTACCCTATATACTACATATATTTTTGCCTACTGTATGTGATACTATGATCTTGAAACAGGATACTGTTTGTATCTGGAATGACCCCTTTTCTGTATTCTCCAGGCAAAACTTATTCTTAAAAACAGCTCAAAAACAACCCTCTTGATACCTGCCCCCCCTGCCCCCCAAAACAACAACAAATAAAAGACACAAAACATAGTTCTCTTCCCAAAGTAGTCTTCTTTACAATTAAAAGAATTGATTGCCCTTTTCCTGTACCTCCATTTTGTTTTCTTCTAGTTTTTATTGCTTTGGTTTATTGGTACTGGGGTCTTATACTTGGTAGAGCGTCTGTTTTCATTTTTATTGTAATATCTATTATACGGTACTTTCCATGTAATGTTCTACATTATCTCTAGTAATAAATTGTGAGGTTCCAGAAAGCAGTAGCTGTGTCTTGTTTTAGCTTCCCAAGGGCATAGTAGGCCTTTGCTATGAAACATGCATGTTTAGTTTAGTTACATTTTGATATCTCAACAGAAATACAGTATTTGATGAAGGGTTATTTGTTATCATTTGTTGTTATCAACAACTGGTAAAACATCTGGGGGCAGAACATAGCTCAAGGTAGTAAATTTATCAGTGTTATAATAGAATGGTAATTCCTCTAAAATAAAATACCTTTAACTTTGTATCAGTTTGTTTATAGTCTTGGATATGTTTCATTGTCACTTGGAACAGTTAATATAGACCCTCAGGCCTTCATATTCTCTACAATGAAATGAGGAAGTTGTTTTAGAACTTTTCAGGAACTAAAATTATAAAGTTAATTTGATATTCTTCGCTAGTATGAAGTTTGCATATTGCTATACTCATTTTTTTAAAAACATATCTTACAGTTGCTGCTAAGATCTTCATTAAAGGACAAATGCAGTAGAGTGTTTTTAAAGTGCCATAAATAATGTGTATATTCTTTTATTCCTTGTATTTTATTAAACAACTACTCTTTTTAATTGATATGTATATATTTGATTTAAGCAGGTTATTGAGCAGTAATTTATGCACATGCTTAAATGTGCAGTTTTATGACTTCAATGTATGTATGAATCATGAAACTAGCCCTATAACTATGGAAATGAACATTTTTGCCATCCTCCAAAGTTTCCTCATTTTCTTCTGTAATCTTCTACCTCTCTACCTCATCCCTGACATTCACTGGTCTTCTACTTGTTATAAACATGCTCTCCAGGAACCATTGAATTCACAGCAGTAGTCAAGAAAATAAAGAATTGTCTCAGCAATGCAAAATTTTCTTCTGCAGCAGGTACATCATCAGCCAAAAATCTGGCAAGCAAGCAAGCAGAGCAGGCAGGCTGCTCCCCTCCTTTATGCCTAAGACAGCAGACCCTGCCCCTCTGCTAAAATTGGTTGAACTCAAGTTCATAATCTGCTTATGATTGGCTAGTTTGTATAGGTATTTACATAAGGTGACTTTGAAATAATTCACCTGAGGGCTGGGAAGGTGGCTCAGTGGTAGAGTGCTTGATATGCATGCATGAGGCCCTGGGTTTGATTCCTCAGCACCACATAAGCAAAAAGAAAAAAGCCAGAAGTGGTGCTATAGCTCAAGTGGTAGAGTGCTAGCCTTAAGCTGAAGAGCTGAGGGACAGCGCCCAGGCCCAGAGTTCAGGCCCCACGACTGGACCCCCCCCCAAAAAAAAGAATGAAATAATTCACCTGAACTAACAGTATACAAGTAATATATAATATACAAATACATACAAAATATACCCACACCTGCTGCTATTTCTTGAGCAGTCTAAGGCTCATCTTCAAAGGTATGTTTTCGTTCCATCTTTCATAAACGAGTTAAAACAAAACCTATATTTCAATGATTCTTCCTTATCCCCAAAGCAGTTCCTTTTTCAATTTCAGGCCAAAGCAGGAAGCAACATACTTCACTTAGATTTATTAGTTTATAGTATAGTTTTGATAAACAGTCATGTAGTATGCATTTTTTCTGACTTCTTTTCCACAGTATAATTATTTTGCAGTTAACCTCTTTTGTTGTATATGTACATTTTTACTGCTGAGGAATATTCCATTGTGGATATTCTACAGTTTATTACTTTATCTGTTGATGAATATTTGGGTTGTTTCTGGTTATGGTTATTTAATAAAGCTGCTTTGAACATTCCCATATAAGTATTGTAAGAACATAGGTTTTTCATCATTCCTTTTTTTTTGTTTTTTGGTCGGTCATGAGGCTTGAACTTTAGGCTTAGGCGCTGTCCCTGTGCTCTTCAGCTCAAGGAGAGTGCTCTACTGCTTGAGCCACAATGCTACTTCCGGTTTTCTAGTGGTTTATTGGAGATAAGAGTCTCATGGCCTTTCCTACCTGGGCTCGCTTTGAACCGCAGTCCTCAGATCTCAGCCCTTTTTTTTTGGGGGGGGGGTCCAGTCGTGGGGCCTGAACTCTGGGCCTGGGTGCTGTCGCTCAGCTCTTCAGCTCAAGGCTAGCACTCTACCACTTGAGCCACAGCACCACTTCTGGCTTTTTTCTTTTTGCTTATGTGGTGTTGAGGAATTGAACCCAGGGCCT